GGGCGGTGTCTGGTAATTCCAAGCTTGTAGGTCAGGCAAAACCTGAAAACTTCCGGCAGTCTATTTCCCAAATTGGTGAGGAAGGGAGAGAAATTCTGGCAGAGTAGATATTTAGAATCTGGAGGGAGAATCCCCCTCCCTCGGGAAACAAGGAGTGTTACTCATTTAGACCTTGAACTGATGCATAAGGCCCACCCACATTCAGGATGGTAATGTGATCTGCCTAATGCAACCTGAGCTCTGGTTGTCACTGTGGTCTGCCAATCACAAGGAGGGCCAAGTTCAAAGCCACCTCTGAAGAAAAGAATGAAGCTTTGGGCTCCCATAAAGGTTTGCAGTCTGAGACACCCAGGGGGGCAGTTTTACCCTGTACCATAGGGTTACTGTAAGTTAGAACTGGCTCGGTGACAGTGAATTTGATTTTTTTAATGACAATAAATTAGATCACATATACATACTTCATAACAGCAACCAGGCTAGTTGACCAAACACCTAGCCCAGTTGGCAAACTCACACGTAGCCGATTTGTTCATATATGTGTCTCATTTTCTTTTCCACATTATTCCAGGGAGAAAATCCATTATATTCGGACTGAGGGTAATCATGGGCTTGAAAAGTTGTCCTGTGATGCAGATCTAGTGATTCTACTGAGGTAAGGGGCTAAACTGGAGCCATTTTTTAAACAGCATCAGGAAAAGCGTCTCCAGTGGGCAGTTCTCCTCCAGCACAGCCCCAGCCAAAGGGGCAGGCAGGGAAGTACCTGCATGGGTTAAACGCTGACGTAGAGCCCACGCTTGCACCTCCTGCCACCACACACGTTACATCGAAAACTGAGTTCTCGATAACTCCATATGGTACTTGACAGAATCTTTTTCCTCGGGCTTGTCAATGATTTCAACACACTAAGAATCTGCTTCTTTTCAAATCTCATGTTTTTTGCTGCTTTGTGAAAACTGTAACTGCTTTGCCTTCTTGCTTAAACACTTCCTACTGGACAAAGAACTAACTTAACATGTTTTGTTTCTTTTGCAGTCTCTTTGAAGAAGAGATTATGTCCTATGTCCCCCTGCAGGCTACCTTCCACCCTGGGTACAGTTTCTCTCCCCGCTGTTCACCCTGTTCCTCACCCCAGAACTCCCCAGGTAACCTGAGTAGTTGGCATAAATGTTCTGAATGATGCAAACGCTTAATTAATGACCAAGGTCATTACCTTAGGTCAGATCTGTCTCTCCAAAGTGGATGCAGATATTGGAGAGCTGCCCTCTTGGCTAGCTGGTATCATTACAATGTGGTGGTTTCTGTGATAAATTCTAATTCCCCTATAACTCAAGCTAAAAAGAGGTTAGTCTGAAAAATCTAAGAACTCCTGCACAAGGGAGAACACTCCCACTCCACATCATTGCTAAGGGAGAGCATACGTGGACCTCCAGCCTCCATCCTTCTGTATCCTATTCTCACCCCGATCCTTCCGCCCATCGAGCAAAACTGTTCTTCTAGGTCTGATAACCACACAGACCTCACAGCCAGTACTCACAATGAAAGGGGTTCATTAGGGAAGGTAGGCTTTCTACTCCTGTAAAGAGTTGATGAGGCAGATTTGTTTCCATATTTTAAGTGCCTCTAAGGAGCATATCTTTTTTACATCAAACAATGTTCTGCTGGCATTCGCAAGGCTTTCAGTGAGTAATCTCTTGGAAGTAGACAACATATTCCTTCTTCCGAGTCTGTTCTTAGTCTGGAAACTTCAGTGAAGCCCAGTCACCATGGATGACCCTGCTGGTGTTAAAATACCAATGCAATGCAATTCCAGCATCACAGCCACATGCCAGCTACCACTGTACATGAATGGTTTGCTCAGCAGCTTAGCAACACACAGACCTCCAGTGGTAGATGGGGGGGTGCCTGCCTGCACATGAGGTGCCTTAGCTGGGAATCACACCCTCGTCTCCATGTGGAAGGACAGTCTGCCACTATCACACAACTAACTACTCTGCAAACCATTGATTGTAAAGGTGTAGTTCCACACCTCTGTGAAGAAAACCTAAAGAAGTTCTATCACATTTCACTGGTAAGCTTACTTCCCCCTCTACTAATATTTCCAATTGGATGCTTCCATCAAGCTCCCGCCCCCCGGTGTCCCTACCTGTGTCACAGCAAAGGGCCTCCTTTCTTGCTTGGCTGAAATCATTGAAGTCAGTGAGTGTCTGCTTTTTATTTATTTTTTAATCATTTTATTGGGGGCTCATACAATTTTTATCACAATCCATACATATGTGTAAAGCGCATCTGTACATTCATGGCCCTCATCATTCTCAAAACATTTGCTCTCCACCTAAGCCCCTGGCATCCGCTCATTTTTTCCACCTCCCTTCCTGCTCCCCCCTCCCTCATGAACCCTTGATAATTTATAAATTATTATTATGTTGTCATATATACTGTCTGACGTCTCCCTTCACCCACTTTTCTGTTGTCCATCCCCCAGGGAGGAGGTTATATGTAGATCCTTGTAATCAGTTCCTCCTCTCTACCCCACCCTCCCAATATGGCCACTCTCCCCACAGTCATGAGGGATTATCCGCCCTGGATTCCCTGTGTTTCTGGTTCCTATCTATACCAGTGTACATCCACTGGTTTAGCCAAATCTGTAAGGTAGAATTAGGATCACAATAGTGGGTGGGGAGGAAGCGTTTAGGAACTAGAGGAAAGTTGTATGTTTCATCGTTGCTACCCTGCACACTGACTGGCTCGTCTCCTCCCCGTAACCCTTCTGTAAGGGGGTGTCCAGTTGCCTACAAATGGGCTTAGGGTCCCCACTTTGCACTCCTCCTCATTCACAATGATATGATTTTTTTGTTCTTTGATGCCTGATAACTGATCCCTAAGGCTGAATCCTGCTTTTTAAGTGCCTGCTATCAAACCTACAAGCTTACCAAACTTGAACTCATTCCCTTCATCCCTTCAGAGGGGATGACTTCCCTCAGGCCCCTATGATCTTCTGTCACCAACCAGAAAATGAATCCTCATGGCTTCTCCTGATCTCCCAGCAGCATGCGATACTATTACCTCTCTCCCCTTACATGCCTGCATCAGTTCCCTTCTAGTGTCACTCTAGCATCTTCTCTCTTTTCCTGGCGTGAGTTTAGGCTCCTCCTCCTCCTCTGTGTCCCTTCCCCAAGACTCAGTCCTAGGCTTTCTTCTTTTCTCTCTCAAACTCGTTCTCCCCTTTCTAACACCCAAAGACACTGCCATACCGCAGCCAACTCATGACCTTCCTGGGCAAATGTGTTCTTCCAAGCTTCCCATCTTGCGATGTCACAAGAAATCTACCTAGTTATAAAAATCAGAAACCTACCTTTTCCTCACTATCTCTAGCCAATCCATTGCCTCTCAAATAGAGCCCCCAGCTTTCCCTGGCCACTTTGCCTCACCAGTGCCAACTGCTACCCCTGCTAGTCCCGTTTGAACTCCCTCAGTGTCTCACGGCCCTCTTAAGTTTGCTCTTTCTGACGCAGAAAAATTAGTGTTATAACTTGAGTTGCATCCTATCAGTCCCTGGATAACGCCTTCCTATTGCGCTTCAAGTGAAGCAATTTTGAACATTTTCAGTGTACCTTATCTTGCCTGATCTGGCTGCTAGCCATCACTCAAGCCTGGCTTAGTATCATGTTGCCCCTCATGCGTTGTGCTGCAGACAAAATTAGAACACCACATCCCACACTACGCGTGTTGATTCTCACCCTGGCTTGCTCCCGGTCCTGCTCGTCTCTTCCCTTAGATTAACTGGAAGCCTTCAGTGGAACTCACACCTACTCATCCTTCAGATCTTCCTCAGGGAAGCTTTCCCACACTTGGCCATGATCTGTAATCTCAAAGACCTGATTCCTTTCCTTCGTGGGTAGCAATTATCACAGTTTGTAATTATATAGTTATTTTTTTGTCACAATAAACTAACTGATAAACTCTGAGTTTATCGGTACTTGTCTTCCCTAGATTGTGAGTTTAGTGCCTGGAATATAGTGGGTCGCTATTATATTCTAAATTTTATTATGATTACTTATGATAATTTTTAATTTTATGATGCAAGGTAATAAAATAGACACCCCTTAATGCTCCGGGCCCTATGGAACAGGAGTGCTTACTTTAGTATTAATGTCAACATAATTATAGAAATATGATTACACATATATTATAGCTCCGGCTGCCATATTATAGTTACATTCCACTTTTTAATAGTTTTAGGAAATTGCAGGAGAAGCTTAGTCTAGTTTGGTTTGAGATAATTGTTTTAGATTATCTAAGCATGATGAAATCAAGAAAAAAGCTCACCCAGGCATTATTAAGATAAATACAGCTTACGGTAATTGGAGTGGAAGATATAAATGTTGGTTCCCATCAAAATCATTTTGGTTTTTATTATATGATTTCTATTTATTATAAAATTAACTGAAAGAGTGATGGAAATTAGGAGACACTTCTTAGAGAAGAAAACTATGAAACTGCAGAAATGTCCCTCTTGTCAGTTCTTCCTTCTACTGTTCCTCCAATTAAAAAAAAAAACGGTGCTTTGATTTCTCTCTGCAGGCTTACAGAGAGCCAGTGCAAGAGCCCCTTCACCATACCGGAGAGACTTTGAAGCCAAGCTCCGAAATTTCTACCGGAAGCTGGAAGCCAAAGGATTTGGTCAGGGTCCAGGGAAAATTAAGTGAGTGCCCTGGGTTTGGCACTAACTAAAGATAGTAGCATTATCTGTCTTCTCCTCTGTACCTTTGTAGTTATTTCTCAGAGACTTAGATTTCCTCCTGTGGTAGCAGCGATGCTCATAGAAAAGAGGAAGGCGATTAGGAAGTTGGAAAGAAGGAGAAGAAAGGAAGTTAAGAAATTAACTTAATGTGGGGAAAGAAGGGAAGGGAAGAGAACAAGCAAGGAAAGGAAAGTAGGTTTCAGACATCGCATGTATAAAATCCGCGGTAGATCTCGGAAAACAAAGACACGTAATCCAAATTTTATATTTACCGTCACTTATTCTTGGGGTAAAATTTAACTCATTTATCAAATGCGTGCACAATGTAACTTTATCATTAGGGTCCAAACAAAAATTGTTCACGGTTTTCCTTCTGAGTTTGTTGGTCTTACCAGTAAGTAGGTGTAAAACCTGAATTTAGGAATCCTGCTGAAGAGAGGTCACTATGAGTTCATCAAAAAGAATTTTAAATGAAACCCAATATGATGAAAGTTGTCCAATTAGAAAAGTATAAATATTTTCTTTGCCGCCCCAAGGCTTAAAATGGTTGTGAGAAGAAGTCCCTCTCATTCCACATGACACAGAATGTCACCAGTCTGACATGGAATTCCACCAAAGGGCGGCGCCTCCGGACCTTTGGCTGTGGTGACCCAGGTGGCTTCCTCTCCTTCCTAGGCTCATTATTCGTCGGGACCACTTGCTGGAGGGAACCTTCAATCAAGTGATGGCCTATTCCCGGAAAGAGCTCCAGCGGAACAAGCTCTATGTCACCTTTGTTGGAGAGGAGGGGTGAGGTGCCCTCACTGTTACGCAGACCCGTAGGTGAGGTCAGGCCAGGGGCTGACCATCGTGGATGGCTATCTTCAAAAGTGACCTGAGTGGTGGCTCTGAGCTTGTTTGCTCCAGGTGACTCTAGCCATGTCCTCCGGGCAGGATTCTCTCCCCAGGTGTTTTCAAGATGTGTTAGGGTTCTCAGGTGGGAAATACCTGGGTTCTTGGCTTTGCATGAGAAAGAACTCACGCCTCAGCCTGGTTTGTGATACAAGTGGGATTTCATAAAGGATAGAAGAAGTTTCAGGTTTTATAGTCACGGAACACGGGGAACCTCATGGGACTGTGCACCCACACATGGTGGCCTGAGGCCAGAGAGAGAGAGACCGCGGCACAGTGGAGCAGGAAGCAGAGAAGCAGCCAAAGGGGGGAAAGGGCTGGTGGTCTCCAGGGCCTGAATTTAGAGCACGCACCTTAGACATGCTGGCTTCTCACTACCTAACAGATTCATGTTTCAAAATCTTCCAAACACTAAAATTATAAACATGTGCTAGACGTTGACACCACATATCCAGAGTCAGCCAAAAGCTCAGGCCAAAGTCACAAGATTTTTATCCCTCCCCACCCCCAATAAACAAAAAACTTTTAGAGGAAACTAAAACCTTTTATGCAATTTTGGAAGTTTCAAAGAAAAGCATTGCAACTGTGGAAAACAAGCTTTCCTGGCAGGGTAGATCTGAATAAACTTGGAAGCTTTTCCAGTTCACAGACACACACACACACACACACACACACACACACACACACAAATACACATCTGCATCCAGTGTCACAGGAAATTCCTTTAGGCTACCCCCACATCCTCAAGTTCCTCTTTTGGATGGGGCAACTGTGTGTTTTATTCCATAAATGTGAGGTGGTTGAAAACAAGAGTTCATCCTAAGAGACCAGTGTGACGCGGCTGAGAAAAGGGGTAGGAGCCCGATGGTGGGAAGAGCCTGTGCACGGACCTCTGCAAGCCCGTGCTGAGCCCTGGGCCTGTGCTTCCTTTGCAGGCTGGACTACAGCGGGCCCTCACGAGAGTTCTTCTTCCTGCTCTCCCAGGAGCTCTTCAACCCCTATTACGGCCTCTTCGAGTACTCGGCAAACGACACATACACCGTGCAGATCAGCCCCATGTCTGCCTTTGTGGAGAACCACCTCGAATGGTAAGAAATGTAGTTTTGCTTTCTGATGTTTGAAAGAGACAGTCTCTCTGAGTCAGAAGTCATTAGCATGTCTCGGGAGCTGACTATGTTCAAAGCGGTGGCCAGCCGATCAAGAGCCCTATGTAGAGTGAGAGAGGACCAACCATCAGGCAGGAAGATCTGGTCATCCTTACTTAGAATACTAAAGAAATGACCACCGACTCTGATTACAAGGCAAACTTCTGTGAGAGCAATCGGCTGTGGAGAGCACAATCAGGTGAGTAGATGCATATGTTGTACGTGGATTATGCTACTAAAACCATGAGTCCCCAATGGAGGCTTTTGGGAGCACTTGGGGCTTTGAAATACTTTGACCTTGACTAATGATTTGATCTTGGACTTGAATTGGAATCAAGCCATGGGAGGAGAAGGGACAGCAACATCAGTTACTGTAACATAAGACTGTTGGGTCAGATAATCTCTCAAGCGTCTATAATGAATTGAATTATGTTTCTCCCCCCTCCCCTTAAATATGAGTTGTAAATCCTATTTTCTATGCCCATGATTACCATCCCATTTGGAGACAACTCATCTTTATTAGAGTCATGAGAGAATTAGAGTATATTTTGAGTCAATCTCTTAACAAATATAGAGGTGTGAGAATGGGAGGGACACAGACACATGCCAAGACACTTGAAGATGGCCCAGGAGCCGCAGCCCAAAGCAAGAGCCTTCCTCCAGGGACAACTGAGTGTGGACTTCTGACCTCCTAACCTGTGAGAAGATCACACTCTATTTGTTGAAGTCCTGCACTTGGGCTTTACCTGTTACAGCAGCGCTAGACAACTAACATATCATCCTTCTGACTGGAAAATCCTCTCTCTCTCGGTTTCTACTACTTCTTACCAATCAACTGTGTACAGATGTGTGGGCAGTACCTCACATGTATGTACTAGAAATCTCCAGTCAGCTGCTCAGAACAATTAGGATGCAACTACTTCGGGATTTCACTGCCACACACTTGGGTGGAAAGGCACCCGTTCTCACCATAGGAGCTCCTGCTCGGAAAGGGAATATGAGTCCCAGAGCCTGTCACTGTGGGTTCCTCTCTGAAATTATTCATTATCACGTGTTGCTTGTGAGGCAAGCTCCTGGGTGGTACCTGGGATCTGGTGGACTTGGCGAACAAGTCCTTGTGATGTGGTTTTACAACATTCGCCTTGTGGGACGTTTGTAGGTATTGTGTATCCCCTCTCTCTCTCCAAACACACCTGACTCTGGAGTTCTTCACCTTGGACAGGAGTGTGTCTATATCAGGCTTTGGACATAAATGCTGAAACAGAAGTTAGCTTTTATCTTTCCTGTCTCTCTGACCTATCATTAAGTGGATAACAGAGGTCGTGAAGCAACACTGCAGGCAGTGGGGAGCTGGAGAAGCAAAGTGCCGTGGGAGAGGTTTGTGAACCTGACAACTGAATGGCGGCCGTGTGACTCAGGTCACATTCAAGCAGGCGCTCCATCCCAAAGTAGAGAGAACTATCGGCCTTAGCACAAGGGTATGGATGGTCAGACCACAGTTCAAATGCATCAGATCTTCCTTAGTCTTCCTTTATGATTGTCCATCTTCTCCTATATATGCCATTATAGTTAATAACATACACAAATAATCTCATGAGGCTCAGAGAGTGAAGTCAGTGAGTATTCTAAAGAGAGGGAGAAATGACGTGTCAAGGAGCCAACACGCAGACAAGAATATGAAAACATGAGAGGCAGTGTAGGCACAGAGCATGGCCTCCAGGATACTGGTGGGAAGTGAGACCGGAGATTTGTGTTTTCTCGATTAAACCTTGCCAGTGTGAAGAGAAACAAGGTTTCTGAGGTGGGATGGAAGCAGGGACTTGCTATGTTGAGGAGAGAGAAAACGAGTCACCACCAAGGTCAAGTCCATGTCTGGAGAAGAAAGCACTGATGTCTGGGACATTTTAAAGGGAGAAGACGCTGGCCTAGTTATCTCACTGATGGAATGTTAAGGTGAGACACAAGAGGAATGTAGAATAAATCTAAGGTTTCTAATCATACTGTGGGGTGGGGGTTATATGAAGTAGAACCTGTGTAGAAGAAAGGTGAGAAACTCCTTCTTTGACCTATAGAGTTTGCAGCTTCTGTGATATTGTATTAACATATTTACATGCAACTGGGACGACATAGACCTGGCTAGTGGAAGGGTCTTGGGATAGAAAGTGAGATTTGAGAGACTCCAGCACAGACATGAAGTCGAGTGATGGGAGAAGAGGGGATAGTGAGGAGAATTTAGGCATATCAAGGTGCACTGGACCACACGTATCCAGGAAGTTCTGAAGGATTCGACTACAGAAGTGTAGGCAATGACAGAATGAGCCAACTTACGTGGGAGCAGGAGAGCTTCCAGGGAAGAATCAGCTGGCCTGCGGTGGTGTGAAGGAGAGAGAATAATACAATGAAGTCTGGGTGGGAGGTAGACAACAAAAGATTGGGAGACTGAAGTTTAGGCCTCCAGGAAAGACACACAAGTGCTGAGGAGCTAAGCGCCGCAGGAGTTGCCCTTTGGAAAGGGGTTCAGTTGGGCAGAGAGAATCGCCCTGGTGATATCAACAGAATTCAACAACCTAGAGGAAACTTGGAAGAGAAGCACTTTTGGATGCAGACATAAAAGAAGGCGCAATGAAGACCTGCGACAAAGGCACAAAAGCTACTCTGTACCACCTACCTGAGCATGGCCTCGTGTCCCTTGGCATCAGGGATCAGACCTCACCAGCTGCCCCACACCCACCACTCACCCTAGCTTTGCTGCTGCTCACCCATCTCTGGTATTAAGGTGCTGACGAGACTGCCTATGTGTGTCAGTAAGACTTGACTGCCGTGGGAAAGGAACTCAAGTGCAAAGGGGCTATGGTGAGATTTAGCAAAAATGTTCTAGATGAATCTTTTATCAAGATCAAGAGCTTGAAACTGCCTATCCTTGAGGCACTCGGTAACTGCCATCTTCCTGGAGGATTTCACCCCTTGTCAGCGTTTTGAGTTTGATCCCCTAAAGCACGCGCTCTGGCTGAGGATGCTTGCCAATATACCTTAATCACAATCGCAGGTCATTCTGAACCAATGAACCATCTAAACAGTGCTATTTTCAATGAGCTTCCTTTCAGTGTCAACAGTGAATGGGAATTCTGTGCGGTAGGCGAATGGGCCTCTCTTATTTGAACTCTGCCACTGAGCAGTTCTGTTTCCCAGAGTCCACCAAAACCAAACGAAACTGACTGTCACCGAGTCAATGCTGACTCATAGCAACCGGGACAGGGTAGAACTACTCCTGTGGGTTTCGGAGGCTGTAACTCTTTACAGGAGTAGAAAGTCCCATCTTTCTCCCATAGAGTGGCTAGTGGTTTCAAACTACTAACTTTGTAACTAGCAGCCCAACTTGTGACCACTCCTTTCCAGCACTTGGAAAAACCCAGGATGCCGAACAAGCACAGCCCTTCAGAGGATGCTCATCAAGAGCTAACTCTGCTCAGCACTGGTACCTTCTTTGCCGGGACTCACAACTTCAGCATTCCTAAGAGGAGTTGGCAGTTGCAGCCATGGCCAAATGAACTTGAAACTTCCTGTTTAATCCTCCTTTAGCTTTGAACCAGAGGTCGCTGTTGGGTTTAACCAGTGGGGACGGTGGTGGTTCAATGGTAGAATGCTCACCATGCATGTGAAACACCTGGAGGTGATTCCTGACCAATTCCCTTAACTTACAGCTACCATCCCTCTATCAGTGGTGGACTGCACATTGCTAGGATGTCAAAACCTGTTGCTATAAAGGGGAGCCCTGGTGGCAGAGTGGGTTCTGTGTTGGGCTGCACAGGGTCAGCAGTTCCAAACCACAAACTGCTCTGCAGGAGAAAAAAGAGACTCCATTCCTGTAAAGAGTTACAGCTCGGAAACCCAGAGGCACAACGCTAGCCTTCTATAGAGTTGCTATGAGTCAGAATCGACTCGAGGGCAGTGAGCTTGCTCTTTCGGTTTTGTGAAGTTGAACAGGTTTCAGTGGAGTTTCCAGTCTAAGATGGACCAGGAAGCTCCACAGAAACTTGGCAATGTCCTTCGAAATACTAGTCAATGAACACTGCATGGATTACCATGGTCTGACATGCAACCATTCTTGGGGATAGCACAGCACTGGACCACTTTTCCTTTTGTTGTCCATGAAGTCACCGTGTCTCGGATTCCATTTGATGAGCGCTAATAGCAACCAAACAACAAGCCTGACATGCTCCGCGTGTTCAGTTCTCAACTACCCGCCCTCTTTGTGCCTTGGGTCCAGAGATTTTTTTTTTTTTTACAAAGAACACTCACAGGTTTGGGATTTTCAGTGCCCCGAAGTGTTTTTGATGAGGAGCCCTGGTGGCATAGTGGTCATGAACTGGACTGCGATCTGCACGGTCACCAGCTACTCCGCAGGATAAAGAGGGGTTATTCTGCTCTGTATAATGTGGCAGCCTCAGAAACCGACAGGGACAGTCGTACCCTGTCATAGGGTCACACTGACTTAGAGAGCCAGCCTCGACTACATGACAGTGAGTTTGCTTTTTGGTTTATGTGTTTTTCAAAAGGGCTGGCCAGGTGGATCAAACATTGGCGTGCTAACCATAAGGTTGGTCAATAGTTGAAAACTGCTTATCAGGAGAAAGATGAGGCTTTCTGTTCCCTACAAGATGTACAGCCTCAGAAACCCAAAGGGGCAGTTCTATTTTCTGTTTTCCTACAGGGCAACTCTGAGTCAGAATTACCTCAATGGCAATAAGTTGGCTTTGGGAGATGCTTGTTTAGCTCTGTGCTTGGAAGGGCTCCTGCCTGGGTGGCATCTCCTAGGTTCACTACACGACATGCCAGCAGCAAGCAGTTGTGTTCTGCCTGCCTGGAGACCATGTTTCCATTGCTCCTGTAACGGGGAGGGGATGGCACCAAAGAAGCCAGAAGCAGTGACATCACGAGGAAAG